AATTTATTAATAGGATCTTCAATGTTGTTTATTGGCTATTTCCTTTTTAGGAGTTTGTATTACTGGCACAAATAAGTAAAGCCCTTCCGCTTAACCCTTCCTGGGTATTATGAGGAAATTTGCTTTGTCGATCTCTGCATAACAGTAATACGATAAACTACCCCCTGTGTCAGCCTCCGGGATAAATTTTTGGTCCGGAACCAATGAATTTCTGGATCTTGCATAACGAAACAAACGGCAAATTTTGCAAAAAAAGAAAGAAATTGTAAATAGTGAAAATTTTTACTATGCTTACTACTTTCTGGCTTCTAAGTAAAAATTCTCGGCACGAAAATTTACATATATTTAATTCATTTCAAAAATATAAAAAATAACTTATATGTTCTGAATCTAAACTAAATTTGGTAAAATTTTTCTTATTTTGTATATAGATATATAGAATTAAAAATAAACCAATTTTATCCACATGGTTATCGTAATATCACTAATGCTATTTTTGATGCGTATATAAAAATTAAAAATACTGTAAATTTCCTAAATTTTGAACCTCCACAAAGTGTACAGTACGTACGTAGAAACCTCAATCTCCTTACAAAAAATTCGGGGTATACTAAATAAGTCGTTATTAAGAATGAGAAACTTATGCAAGTTTCCTGCTTTGATGCAGGAAATTCAGAAACTTTAATTTATATAGAATGAAGTTATTCGCTATTGAGTACGTAATACATTCTATTTTTGGTGAATTATTCCTATGAATAGTTTCCATATCTGATATAGAAAATCGATTTTCGATTTACGTACGTACGTATGTACTGTACGTAAGAATCTTAAATCCATACCAGATACGTACTAATGGTGTTTCAAATTCATAGAAGCATGTACTTTCGTATGATTAGTTGATATAAGTCAATTTCTTGGATAATTCACTAAAATGATACATCATTACCTTTGACATACGTATTACTAATTAAATTATGAAAAACAATGCACTCATAAAATATTAATTAGTTTGCTCCTTACCTCAAAGTTCATTCCCGTTTATCCATCTAATGAACTAATTTAATTAACAATGTAAATACAGTACTAAGATCGTAAATTAAACGACATACATGTACATATATAGTTACGTATTCTTTTAAAATCAAAATAACCGAGTCATTTTCTGCTATTACCAACGTTGTGTATCATAAACATATACGTACGTACGTAAAGAATCATCATTTTTCTGTACTGTAAAAATCTGATATTTTTCTATCATTTTCACGTTCAGACGTTAAGAATACTAAAATGGCAAAATCAGTCAACCCTTCTTGCCACATTAAACTTATATCTGCAGTTTCAATTTTATTTTTTGCCTCAGTTAATGCACTTGAAGATAATATTGGTATATCTAATCCAATTATTGAGGCTGTATTTGATTATATGATTATCGTTTTAATTCCGGTGATTTTAACCTTTGACATAAATGCAAAAGAGGCAAAAAAACTCACCAAACTTTTTGAATTTTTACAAATCCTCCTCCTTTTAGTAGTATTTGGTCTTCAAATTTGGTTCTGTATCAGAGCTTATCAGTATTTTAATGATGTTTTTTTTATTGAATATCTCATCGTTAAAGTCGTAATTACTTTTGCCTTTGGTTGTTTTGGCACTTGCTTTGGTTTTTGTGGCACTTGCTTTGCTTGTCTTCTCCTTGCTTCATCTGATAACAAAAATAATCTTCTAGCCTTACCTTCCCTTGCAACAAGCTTATCAAGCTTTACTGTTGACTTAATTTTTCTTATTTTATCCGCACATCGACAATATAATGATCCAAACTCTGATCAACCTAAACCTAATTATAAAACTCAAACGTATGTTAATTCATCATCATATTTTTTTGTATTAGTACCTATTTGTATAGCTTTTATTATTGGGGTGTTGG